AGAACCTAGGCTACAAAATGATATAAGTTATTTGTGTTTTTATTGTGTGCGTTTTTGCGCAATTTTTGTTTAAAAATACGCCCGACTTTTGTCTAGTGAGTGTATATATTTATATATAAAAATGTCGATTGGAGAATATACCTGCTCTTTACTTTTATATTCTGGTGAAGTCTGTGGACGTACTTGCAGGCGTCCTGATAGGTGTTGTTTACATAAAAATGCTATAGACCGTGTTCATTGTACTGATTGTGTAAAACCTACTAAATCTGATTCTAATCGTTGTCCTGATCATATTAGAGGTTATTATGTTTCAAAGTATTTTCAGAAACATCTTAAGAAAAAAAACGTAATATGATGTATTTTCCAGAATGATCTACTATTTATTTTTAAATATGACGCAATTTAAACCAATTGTGGTACGAAGGAAATACTTTTAAAAGATATTAAGTTAAAAATGTCAATTTATAAATTATTATCACTAGAAAGAATTGGATTTGTAGATGAAATTTATGATAGAATGTATAATGATGCTTTAGCAAATTCACATAAAGTCAAAAAGATTATTTTTTTTCATTGGTCAAAAAAAGCAAGGAGCTTTCTGAGAGTGAAAAAGAATATTGCAAAGAATATTTTATTTATGATTTTGAATTAGATAATGCAATTTATAAATTGGGCAGACTAAGAGAATGTAGCAAGTATAAATCAATAAAATATTCTGATAGATTCTGTGAAGGTTGTATTAGTTTACAATTACAGTCTTTTTGGCACTTGGACATTTGGTAATGACTTGGTTGATAATTTTATCCAACAATGTCAAATTCTCACATCTTTGCCAACTAATATTTTAGAATGGGTACCTTTTGAGCAATTTAAAGGAATAAAAAAATTAACTGAAGGTGGATTTAGTTCAATTTATACTGCTGAATGGACAAGGGGATATATAATTGATTATAATGAAAATAAAACAGAAAGATGTAGTATTAAAAAGTTTAAATAATTCAAGTAATCCAACAAAAGAATTTTTTGATGAGGTAATTGATTTTATTTTATTTGTAGCAAAAAAT